TTTTAATTGAAAATAAAAAGATACCGTTCAGTTGTAATTAGTGTTGCCATTAACTCGGTTTTCTTTTTTGAAAAAGTGACTTATGCCACTTTCAAAATAAACGGCTCATATATGGCAAAACACACGTAAAGTTTTCGTGACGAATCAACTGGTGTTCATTTTATTTGTTTTTAAGTATATCTCTTTCTTTCTTTCTTTCTTTTATTGCGTGACTCGTTAAATCCTTTAAATCTTATTATTCAATCTCATCTCTCTACCCATACTCATATTTTTCGCGATAAAACTTTAATCGCGTATTCATAGTCCCGTGTAACAAATAAACAAGTTATTAATACACGTTTTACTTGAATTTTAATACAAATTGTATCGTAGATTGTTATCTGAAAATGTTTATATCAACGTCCAATTGTAAATTATTATCGTATCGAGAATATGGGGTTTTAGAATTTGCACCTCGGGCTCATAAATTATGCGAGTTTGCTTATATACATCGGCTATAACATTAACCGCGAGTCATATCTCGTTTGATGTTCTTCACGATGCTTGCAAACCGGATTGATTGACCATTGAAAAAGGTTCGCTAGACCGTGAAACTATCGATGTGACCTTCTTACCATTCACGGTTGCTGTCTCGTGTTTTTTTTTTTTTTTTTTTTTTTTTTTTTTTTCAAAACTCGTCCTTTGCACACATTTAACTCGACAAATATATCTTTTTAACTTCGTTCCTTTATTTTTATTTTTCTAATTTCTTTTTTTTTGTTTATAATTTTTTTATCGTATCGTTTCCTCCCAATCCATTTTCTTTCTCTTATGAAACACGATCAATATATTATAATCATAGTTAAATTAATATTACGATATTACGTTAACTTGTTAAACATAATCACGATTTTTTGTTTAAATCGTGATCAATTCAATTACGACCCTTTTTCGAAAACAATCAATCGATAGACGACGATGACGATGACGATGACGTATAGAAAACATACGTTCGAGACGAAGCTTAAAATATTCTTTTATTTAACAATTAGGTGAATATAATTTTAGCAAAATCAAATGAATAATATTGTTTTCGTTAATCAAACGACAAGACGATTGTATAATAACACGATCGTTTGATAGAACGATGACCAATAAATTAGTTATATTCAAGTTGAAGTTGAAACAAATGTTCAGATAAGATAATGATTATCAAGATTTGAGTGAAAATGATGAGGACAAATAATAAAGATAATGATGAGGATTGCGTGATCATTGGTGATCCTTCGATCTAAGGAAGGACATGGCTAAGGGCATGATGATGAAGGATCAAGGCGAATGTCCTTTATACTGGGTCTATGATTCCGGTGGACATCTGAAATATCTTCTACGTGCTGCCGCGCTTTATTTAACGATAGTTGCAGCCTTGTGGTGCGTCCCCGCCTGCCTTTACGATCGGTGAGGACAATTATTGTCGAATGATCATCTTCCGATCTTAATCGAGGTTTTTCTGTGTTTTTTTTTTTCTTTTTTTAATTCTTATTTTTCTTTCCTAGTTTCTGTCATTTTATTTAGGAAATTTCAGTTTCGATAATTGGAGGGTGGGGGAGAGATATTTTGTTTGTTTTAACACGTTGAACGCCATGCGAATTCTTAAGGAAATAGAAATAACCTAAACGAAAAGTTCGGTGTCAGTTATCGGTGACTGACTCTGGCAGTCAACGTGTTAATTATCAATTATATCGAACGACGATATAATATCGAAACAGGAGAAATATAAGTCGTCTATTCGCAGAATTTCGGAGACCGGGCAAGCAGTGGTTTTGACATTAGTGGACACAGCAGCGGCAGAATTGCAGAGCCTAGCTGAGCCAAAAATCGAATTGGATTCCCATTCGTCCGTGAAAAATTCGAGTACGAAAGGTGGTAGGAGATATTCCGAGGATATACACGATGCTAAATCAACATCTACGCAGATACCTAGTCCTCCGATTATTAAGGAAGAAAGTATCGAGGAAGATAACGACACGAATAATGTGTTGTTGAACGAGGATGAAGTTTTAGGATTACATGGGACAACAACCAATGGAAAAATTCATGAAAAAACTCCTGACATCGTGGTGGTGGTCAGAGCTGAACAACAAAAAATTACGACCGATGGTGTCGATGTTATTAGAACGGAAGTTAGATCCGAGGAGGAGGAAGAAGTCGAACAGGTGTTACCGGATGAATTGGGAAAAGTCGAGGATGAAGATTTTGGTACTGCATCCGAATTGAACGATACCGCAGCGAGAGTTAGATTGATAAGCGGTGGCAACAGGGACGACGTGGCTTCTGCTGTAATAATCGATGGTCTCGTTGCTTCTGGGCCATCCGATTCCCACGAGGATATACCATCTTTCAGCGAATGGGCTCAGAAACGATTAGAGGAAGCTGAAAAGAAGAAGAGTGAGTATCGAATATTTTGAAACCCATTTATAATTGGATTCGACGTAGATTATTAATTGACGTGTGTTTTTAATTTGATCATTTATTTAATTAGACAAAATTTGATCTTCTTTTTAAATATTCGATTGTTCTCATTGGTATTATACACTTGCAGCACATCCAAACGCCTCTGTGCAAAATCCAGGAGGACCAGGTCGAGGTATGGGCGGTATGAAGGTACGCTCGAAGAATTATGCTTCTCCTGATTGTGGTGCCAAGATCGTTGCCGTTAATCCAGAAGCTCAGCACGCTAAAAGTGTATTGGCTGCTACCAGAGACGAATACATGTTGAATACTTGTACATCGCGGGTCTGGTTCGTGGTTGAACTATGCGAGGCCATTCAAGCTAAGAAAATCGAGTTGGCTAACTTCGAACTGTTCAGTTCATCGCCAAAGGAATTTTCCGTTTACGTGAGCGATCGTTTTCCAACACGAGATTGGAGCCCGGTTGGTCATTTTACTGCGAAAGACGAGAGAGATATTCAAAGCTTTGCATTGCATCCTCAACTCTTTGGGCAATTCATCAAAGTGGAACTTCAATCCCACTACGGTTCTGAACATTTCTGTCCGATTTCTCTATTTCGTGCTTACGGTACCAGCGAATTCGAGGTATTAGAAACGGAAACGGAGAATCAGTTGTCAAGGGAATCGAATTCGGAGGCAGAAGATGACGAGGATAATGACGAAGAAGAGGTTCTCGATGCCGACGGTGTACCATCGAATCTTTTCGGCAGCGCTAGGGATGCCGTTCTCAGTATAGTTAAAAAAGCTGCTGAAGTATTGGTTAAATCCAGCGACTTAATTGATAACAATATAACGAAGATACAACAGAACATCGATACTGGGACAATATTAAAAAATTCTTACAACAGTTGCACCACCCCCAGATACACTATTCTCTGTGCTAAATGTTCCGATCAAAAGTTTGCCAAAGTGTTTCAATTGGTCGGTTGTAGGGATCGACAATTGGATGATCTTTTGAAGAATAATCTGGTTAATGAAACTCTCAGAGAACATGGATTATGCACCGATCATGGCATAGACTTTTCTACGATCAATCAAACGAAAAAAGAATATTTAAGTGAATCCAAAAGTAAGGCCAAAAATCTTCAAGCAACTTTTTTCTCTTCCGTCTTCAATCCCGAATACATAGTTGCGCTTTGCAACGTATTGGCAACTAAAGAACGTAAAGTTGTGATGAACACCAGCTACGAGATACACGGTAGCGAATCGGAGAACATAACGCAAAAAGATCCTATGTTGAAAATAGAATCCACTGAGAAGACCAATGATCTTCCTGTCATACCCTCTTCATCTCAAATAATTACTTCATCGATAACATCTTCTTCGAAGGATTCCAGACAACGTCAAGAATCCTCGAGCGAAGAATTGGAGACAACGACTACGACATTGACTGGAAGTTTAACCAATGGCGAGAATTTGGCTTCTCAGATAAAACCAATGAAAACTTTAAGCAAGGAAGACTTAGGGGAAAAGGAATCGTCCTTGTCTAGTTCAGAAATTAGAAAAGAAATGGTGGAAGAAACTTTGCAAGGTGAAATGATTACAACTGCACCGCTTGTTACAAGTTCACCAACACCTACATTGAAAATTATCGAAGATTCATCGGTCTATAGAGCTACTGAAACGATTACTCAAACTGTACCCAGTGTTCCAATGTCTAATTATGCTGGCCAAGAAATCAATAGTAATCTTCCTTCGTCTATTATTGAATCCGGTGAATCTGTTATTCAAAGTAAAACTGAAAAGACTGAGAGAGGTGGTGAAAACGTTGGAACGAAAAAATTGGAACAAGTTGAAATTGATGTCAAAGGAAAAGGAGAATCTGGTGAACAAGAAGGGAAATTGTCTTCTCAAGATCATCTTAATTTCGACTCGTTACTTTCGGATTTAAAAGATTTGGAAAACGATGCAATTAATTTACATAATGGACCAGTTGCTGCATCTAACACGCAACCAACTGCGAGTACGACGCCCCAACAAAAGGAGTCTGTTTTCCTTAGGTTATCCAACAGAATCAAGGTGAGTTTGTTTAATTAACCGATATTTAATTAGCAAAATTTTCAATATATACATATATATTCAGAAAAAAACTTGATTTTCCTTTAAATCTGCGTATTCTCTCTAAGTATCATACTATCTTCCATTTGATCCGATAGGAATTTAATTAAAATATAAATCTATACAGGTAAGCGCCTGTTCTATTTACAAAAAAAAAAAAAAAGTACAATATTTTGTATTCACTCATTATAATTTTATTCAACAGACACTTGAAAGGAACATGTCTCTGAGCGGTCAATATTTAGAAGAATTGAGCCGACGTTACAAGAAACAAGTTGAAGAAATGCAACGTTCATTGGAACGTGCTGTAACGGCAATGAGCGAGGAGTCGAGAAAATCTGATGAACGTGATTCGAAGAGACTCGAGGAAATTGCCATGTTACGAGAAGAGATAGTAATACTTACTAATTTGGTCGAAAATATTGTACACGATCAAAACAGTTGGCATGGAAGATTTTCTGCTATCGGTCAACACGCTCTTGTCATTTGCGTAGAAATATTTTTAGTAATTATTATTCTTTCTTATTGTCGAAGAGCCAACGATTACGAGGAAGAAGACGAAGAACAGCAGACAATATCTAAGAAAAATACTGATGGACGTAGACAAAGTGCTGTACATTTGTCGAGTTCTTCAACTCTTAACAAAAAGATCAAAAAACGACGACCAAGCGAGATCGCATCCAATATATCAACAACCTATCGCAATCTCATGATCGAAGATCACTGCCACGAAACCAAAAAGGAACGTAAAAAGAAACGTAAAAAGGAAGCAAATGCTGCTAAGTTAATTGCTGATATTAAAGAGAAACGACAAACGATTAAATATAAAAGTACTTCGAGTCTCGTACCACCAATTAATACGTTAATTTCGACGAAAAGAGCTTCGTCCAGTGATCCACCAAAAATCGAAGATATACAACAACACGATAGTCATCAGCATAGCCAAACCAAAGACCCGCCGGAATACACGATAGATATCGCGAGCAAGTTTAATAACGAAGACAAAATCATTAGTAATACTAAAGTATCGGAAACAACAATACGTGAAAGAAATATTAAGTTTGGTCGTATGGAAGTTGGTGGTGGTGGTGGTGGTAGTAGTGCAGGTGCAGGTGCAGGTGCAGGTGTAACAGATTATATCGAGACACGTTTGTTTTCAATTAATCCTGATAGATTATCTATCATACCGGTTTCTACCTCACAGACTACTGATTTTTCCAAAAATGGCTCTTCCAAGTACAGTGGGATATTGAAAGAAGGAAGATTAAGTTCTCCGTCGTTTATGAAGACAGCTTTAGGAGCTAGAAAAAAGAGAAACTCGATTAACAATACTGGTCAATCTCAACAACAACAACAACAGAATAGTAAAGAAGACAAGTGGGAAACTAATTCAGGTAATTCGTCGAGCGACAGATCGTCGTCTCATAAAGAATCACCTGTCACGTCTAGAACTTTTTTGGTTAATCTTGGTAACGTAAATGGTAGTGCTGCGAACGGTTTATTGGATGAAAGTGACGAGTCGAGAAGTAATAGCGTTACGCCAACTTCGTGGAAAAAAGAGAAGAAAAGTAGCGGTCTTAAGAAGATGGTGAGAAAGATTTTTTGATTGAAGTAGACTTTTTCCAAAATGTGTGCGTGTATATTATGTATGTGCGTATGTGATACCACGGAAGACTCGATAATTGATAGAGAAAAATAATTCATTGTCGAAATTCAATAACTCGTCTCTCTTATATATATATATATGATAAGAAAAAAAAAAGAAGAAACATTCAAATTTTATTCTATTTTTTGTTTTATATATCTAACAGTAAAATTAAATTATTATGGTTTGAACCACTGGGTCCTATGGACTCTATCGTCGCTGTTTATTTGTTTTTTTTTTTTTTATACGTCAATTTGTAATTATAAATATATCGATTTAAATACAAATGTTTTATTCAGCGATTATTAGTTAAAGCAATTATTAGGAATATATTTGTCGTTTGTTATCAATGTTTTATCGATATATATATATATATACATATATATTTATCGTTTCTTTCTTTTTTCTTGTTAACATTTTCAGACTCGCCGAAATACCTACTGATACAATTCCAAATACTTTATTCAAAGACGGAAACGATAATGAATAATTAAATACAATAATAAATATCCAAAAATATAACACAGAAGAAATATATTAATCGATATATACGTCGAAGCATGTTTTATGAATCTCGAAAATGTGAGTATTTTTTGGTCGCAAGATCTTTATCAGATCAGATTTTTTTTGTTTTGTTTTTTCTTTTTAATGCAGTACCCAATTAGTATTGTTAAATAGAAAATAGAGAGAAGGACTATCGTTTTATATTTTACATATATAAATATTAGCATTTGCAAGAACCTTTCTTATGTTATATATAAATATATATAAATATATATATATATATATATATGTATATATATATATCTATATATATATATATATAGATCTTATACCCAATGTCAAAAATGTATAACACTGTTGTTTACTTGGCAAATTTTCAAATGGCAGGCTAGATCGTTAGAAATATAGTTCCAATTATTATTTTGTTTATTTTGTAATTTTTGCTATATAAATTTTCGTAGATGTAATGATATACCGTTATCGCACTGATCTCTCTCTCTCTCTCTCTCTCTCTCACACACACACACACACACTCTCTTTCTCTTTTTGTCCTTGCTTCTAAAAATTATTAGTGTAATTAAATAAGAGAATTAAAATAGAGAGATGAGAGGAGAAAAATATGAAATGAATAAGAGAATGGGATATGCATGAAAGGCCTTAGTTGGGTTTAGTGTTGAACAATTAAAAGATCGAAATACTTGTCATTAAACAAATAAAACATAATATTATAGTAAAGAAAAGTTATGTTTGAAAAGAAAAATAAATGAAATGAAAAAGGAGAAGAGAGTTGAGAAGATAAGATAAAAGGAAATTCTGGTGATCTTTAATATAGATACTTAGATTAACACGTAGATAGATAATTAAATAAAGAATATAATTGTTGACCAAACAAATAATAATGAACCTTTGTAAAAAGGTTATTAAAATAAATTATCGAGGGAGAGACACACATTTATACACCGAGAGACGATTGACGATTTTTATTCTAATTAAATGTTTAACGAATAATTAAAACTAAGAAGAATGTGTGCGAGAGATTTCAAATGATGATGATGATGATGATGATGATGATGATGATGATGATGATGATGATGATAATAAGTGTGATCAATTTAGGGATGTTAATATTATCGACAGATATATTATTATAATCGTAATATCAATTTTTTCAATTATAATCAAAAACAAAAAACGATATTTTTTCGTTTCAAACGCAGTGAGATGGGTGATCTCTATAATCGTATTTAATTTAAATATATTTATAAAGTGCGTTTATACGTACACATGCATTCTTCGTTACGTCAAATTTTCATTCTCGATTTTTTATTCCTTTTTTTTTTTTTGTTTTTTTTTTTTTTTTTCATTTACAGTAGAAATCAACAACAATATTTCCATGATTTCTTCTTTGAAATATCCTCGTCGTTATTGAAACTTCTAAGTCACACGGTTGTGCGTGAAAAATCATTGATTGCTTTGCGATAGATTAGAACAAACTTTTCTCAAAACTTTTTCAATCGGTGACAACCGAGAAAATATTTTCCCCTGTCTATACTATTTGCTATTTCAATGTAGTAAATTTATAGTGTATATAGTATTGCCAAACTAGTTTTCAATTAATTGTTTTTCGATTTTCCGAAGTCGAGAAATTCTTGAGTTCCGTTATAATTTCTGCAACGTTTCAAATTTAATTTTGCCACCTCGTATATGAGGTTTTTAGGCAGATTTTTAGTAGCCCTGTCCAACGATAAATCGTTAGAACAAACAATAGCGTTTAATTGAATAGAATGAACAATTATATTTTGTAGTTATTTTACAATCGAACTCTCTAGCATTTTGCTGATTTTTATTTGTCTTGCTTTTCGTATTTTTATTTTTTATTTTGTTTTTTTACGAAGATACTCATCGACGTCTTCCAGCAATGATGTCAACAACAAAAATAATTCATCTACCATTATTATTAACCATTAGTTAAACGAAAATAATTCTTAGATGCTATCGAAAAAGAAGAAAATGTTTAAAACACATTTGTGCATGAACATTGAACAAATTTATTTGATCATCCTTTATTGTTAACAATCTATCGCAAAGATATATCCTCGGGACACGCATACACACGCGAAGAAACAATGTGCCAGCATTTCGTATTTGCTTATAAAACCCACACTGAAGAGAAACACAAAATAAATAAAAATAAAAAATATTAATAATTAAAAAATAAGATATATAAAAGATAAATAAATAAACGAGCTGTGATAAAACACTCCTTTTAAACTTGCGAAGAATGATAGTGATCGAAGAAGCGTAATTTCCAAATGGAATTTAAAATAAATTACACGGAGAGAAAGAGAGAGAGAGAGAGAGAGAGAGAGAGAGAGAGAGAGAAAGAGAGAAAGAAAGAAAGAAAGAAAGAAAGAATGTTCGGAATGACTTAAACTCTGATTGAGACGTGTCCTATTACTTAATGTGCATTTAAAGATTTAATAGTAATGAATGAAACAGAAAAATAACAAGAAAAAAAAAGAATACGTGCTATATACTCGAACGATTATCAATTATAGGATTTCATTCGAGTATATATATATATAAATATTCAATAGATATATAGATAAACATTTTAATACACTTGAGTCAGATATTATATAAATGATACATATATGAGTTTAAACGTTTAGTGTTAAAATATAATAAAAGAAACATACATCCATCATTAATATCTCATAATCATACAATATAGTATATTCATTACAATTACTTATTAATTATTATCATAGTTCATTTTCATTGTTACGCGTTTTGTTAGTTATTATTTACATATATTATACAATATATAGTATTTTATATATATTGTGTAGTATATGTATATGTGTATTCATTGTACGTGATAAGAATACGGAAGCTCGACTTTCAATTATTTATTTTTTAGTGAGAATATAAAACCATTATTTATACTTTACATATACTTTATCTAGAAATTTATTTAATTGATTATCATTACACAATAGTAATATTAATAATAATAATAATAATAAATAAAAATAGTAATAATTATAATATTGTTCTATCGTAATGACTGTACTTAAATTGTATGAAAGAAAAACACAATAATCGTACAGATTGATAATATCTTATCATTTTATTTACAAAATATTTATTATAAAGAAATTTAGTTGATATAATTCGTTTATTAATTATCGTTTATTATATTAAGTTATCTTTTTGAAAAATATTTTACAATTAAACGTATATATGTAGACAAAAAAAAAAAAGATTGTTATTTAATATATTTGACACAAATTGTTTTGCTGAATTTTTATCAATGATGATGATGATGCTGATATAATTAAAAGGATCCTTATTAAAAATAAATTGCTATCGAATCGGATTATTATTAAAAAATAAAAAAAGAAAAGGAAGAAAGAAAAAAAAACAAAAGTTTTGTCGATTTTAGTGATGTTAAATATATTATGAATATAACAATAAAGTATTCAAGTAACTCTCGAATATATAATCCTTACGCTTAAATGTATTTAAAATATCTGCTTATATTTAGAGTTACGTGTATTATATTCATTAAAAAAAAAAAAAAAAACAAAAAACAAAAAAAAAACGAAAAAATACAAGTATAATGAAACTCGCGTTGTTATTAAGACTATTGAAATTTAAGAAACGTCGAGCTATGTCATTTCGAGATTTGAGATAAATATTTTTGCCTAGTCTGTAATATCTAATGCGTGTGATCATTATAATTTTTCTTTTATTTCTTTTTTATGTTATTCCTATGATTTTTTGTTTTTTTTGGGGGGGGGGGTTTTAGTATCTTAGCAGATTGTTCAAATTATTCGAAGCCTAAGCGCAAATAGATATGATGATAATGAAGATGATAATGATGGTCAAAATGATATAGTATGCTTCGAATATTTTTTCCAGATCATGTGTAAATATAAGAAAAAAAAAAGAAATATCTTAATGATTCTACATACGATCATATTCAAAAAAAGCCCGTTTTTGTGCACGTGATATTCGGAGGATCATCGAAGAACACATTTTGTTTATTATTTATTTATCCTCTGGTCATTGGAAATGATTAACAAATTAAAACGTGTAAAAAGAAAAGCAGCTATAATGTATGCGATCAAAATGTGATATGCACAAAAACGAGCTTAATTAAAAACATCAATAATTTAATTTTAAGCGATACCATTTCAAATAAGCCTGATATGTATAATGTTATGGCAAATTCGAGAGCCGAAATAATAGTGCCGCAATGTTTAAATTAGTTACAATCGTAAAATAAATGAGAAAAACGTTTACTTTTAGATTTAAACCGACTGCTGCTTATTCTCACCAATTTGTGAATGTTAATTAAAAATAAATTATTATTATATATATATATATATATATATGTTCATCGTGGAATAAACGAAAGATTGTTGATTGTTGTAAATGAAAACAACGTAATATACTATGTGAAAAAGTGCTGGTAAAGTGGAAAGACAAAAAATATAAAATAAAATAGCGGAGATTACACATAATTCATATTACAAGA